AATGGGAGGAGTGCGGAATAAAGTACGGAATGCCGACGAAACAGTTGTTGATACGAAGGCTAACGTGCATTTCTCCTGACAGCGCCGTCATAGCGCTTGGCAGCGAGATGTCCGGTGGCATTGAGGATGTCCGTGCCGAAGACATTGTCGCTATTAACTCCGAATCTGGTGTCAGGTACGCAAGTTGATAACCGGTTTTGTATCCTGTCTTTCGAACCGGTTTGGTTCGTTAGGTATTTTGAGTCGGAAATCAAACCGAACCGAATTTAGGAAAGCCTTTGGAATTGAAGTTGAAACCGATGTACCATTGTGGGTTTTGGTTTGGTTATAATTGGGTTTGATTATTTCAATTTTAGAAAAAATTATAACCATTCAATTTTATATTAACGAGAATAATTCCACCGGTTTGGATTTGTCGGATTGATACTGCTTTTGTGAAATATATGGCTCTGTTTCTTGGTTGTTGAACGGGGAGCAAAATAGGGTCACAAACCTGGTTTACATTTGGTTAAGTCCGGTTTGTCAATAATTTTCTCTTATACCGATATTTTCAGGATCAAAACCGCAATAGGACGAGGAGGGTACGTGAAGGATATATATGTTCGAGGAATGACGATGAATACGATGAAATACGTATTCTGGATGACTGGCAATTACGGTTCTCATCCAGACGAGCATTACGATCCGGAGGCTTTACCGGTGATTGAAAACATCAATTACCAAGACATGGTAGCCGAGAATGTTACAATGCCGGCTCAATTATCCGGTATACCGGGAGATCAATTTTCCGGCATCTGCATTTCAAATGTTACAATCGGTTTAGCCACTAAACCGAAGAAGGTGCTTTGGAACTGCACGGACGTTTCGGGTTTCGCGAGCGGCGTGACTCCGCCGCCGTGCGAGCTGTTGCCGGAAAAGCAGCCCGGAACGATGATTCCGTGCAATTTTCCGGCGGAAGTTATCCCGATCGATGAGGTCAAGCTTCAGCGTTGCTACAGCAGGAGGAAGAATGTGTGAGGAACGTTTTCTTGAAATCGGTTTCTTGGGTTACAAGAAATGTTCTTTTACCAAACCAATACTTAGAAAACACGCAGACGTGAATATAAATTTATAATTATCTCAAGAATTAGGGAAGTGTGTGCGTATTTTTCGTGTATTTGCATATTTCCTTATGTTTTGGTGTTTATATGTATGTGTTAATCTCTGTCATGAAATTCTTTTTATTTTTCTGAACCATTTTAAACGAACCATGATTTAGAATCAATCTCTATGACAATTTACATTGAACAAAAGGTTTTTTTTTATAAAAAAATCTTAAATCTGTTTTTTAAACACTGGATTAATTAAAAAAAATTCATTGAATTTAAAATTAAGCGATTGTGTTAAGGATATGCGTTATTAAAGAATCAATGAAACCATTGAATCGTAAAACTTACTTTTCATCCTCAATTAGTACGCATTTAAGATAGGTAAACGAACTTTTTATCCTTAATTAGTATATAATAGGTATTTAGGAAACAATTAATGCTTTGTTGCTAGGGGTAGGAAACGAATTATTAGCGTAACTTTCGGCTATTAACATCTACAGAGTAAACAATGTGTTTATAAATAAAGTCTTATTTCATAATTTGAAAATTTTATATGGGATTAATAAATAAATGTGCTTTGGTCATACTATTTTAATCGTAGAGCAAAATGCTATTTAACCATTTTTCATCTAATCTAATCGGAAGGAGAAGTTTGGTGTCACATCTTGGTAATAACGATGATCAATGGAGGGTAAATTTGGAATAAGAGATTGAAACCTTTTCACTGAAAAACGAAAACAAGAACGAGTCAGGTCTCGTTCCCCGTATCATAGATTCTCTCTGATCAAATAATCCAAAATCTCCCTTTTTTTCCTGGAAAATTTTGCAGTTGTTTTGCCAAGCAAGCAAAGGGCAGGCAACGCATTATACCGTTTGCCGAAGCACCAGAGCTGGGCGGCCGCCCGTGGTGAATTACCACGACATGATCACGGAGAAGAAATGAAACGGAGAGAGAGGAGATGAGGCGGGTTTTCCGGTGGGAGGAGATGCAGAGGATAGGGTTGGGGATAATGGAATTGACGGAGGGGTTTAGGTTTCCGGCGGAGATATGCCGGAGAATGGAGGGGATTGATGGGTCGCAGGGACAGGTGAGGAAATTGTTTCATAGAATGGTTAGAAGCAGGATTGAGATTCTTGAGGCACTTGACCAGGCTGGGAAGACAACTGCACTGTAATTTTTTTGTTTGTTCTTTTTTATTTTTTTCATGGGGATCTCTTTTTTACTGGTGTGCAAAAATGTAATTATTTTTTAATCTTTTGTTAGATTAAGAGGGTACAAAAAAATGTAATCTTTTTTCATAATGGGGTTTTGGGTGTTCTCATGGTTAGCCTAATGTATAATTTACCATGTTGCCTTGTGTGTTTAAAGCTGGGAGGAACTCTACTGTACCTGCACTGTAAATTTTGTTCTTTTTCATGGGGAATTTTTTTTAACTAGTGTAAAAAAATGTGATATTTTTTCATTTTTTTGTTAGTTTAAAAAGGGTACAGGGTTATCTTGAAGTATAAATTATACTGTATAATTGACAACGAGTAAAGTATAAATTATACTGAAACCGCAAATCTCTACTGTCAGTGTGCCTTGATGAATCTCTTCTTCTGTGGCTTCTGTCTCTCTTTCCGCAAGCCCGGCTTGCTTTTCTGGGCAGGATTGTTTCCGGAAGCTTCCTTGTAATTCCGGAAGTTTCTTTTACTGCCGTGTTTAGGTCTTTTTCCAGTTCCATTATCAGCAGAAACGGAAGAGTGAGCTAATGGTCTCTTCTTCTGCCATTTGCTCTTCTTCTGTTCTGCAACAGCAGCATCCTCTGAAGATTCGTCGCGCTTTCTCTTCTGCGGCCTGTCAACCAATACGTATATGTATGCAAGCATATGTGTGATTTCCCATGGGATTATGTAAAAAGAAGTTAAAAGAAGTATGTTCTAAAGATCTTACATTCTGGATGAGTCGTCGGCTTTTGTCTGTGCATTGTCGTCAGCCTCTTCTTTGGCATTTGATTTCCCAGAGCGGTGAAGAATATATATATATATATATATGTATATATTGAATCAAATACTGAAAAAAATACTTACCTAGAGAAGATGGTGCCGCAGTCGCATCGATACTCTTTGGTACCGCAGGTCTTGGAGTGGGCTTTCCAATCAGATTGAACGGCGTAACGCTTAGAGCATTTCTCGCACTTCCACTTCTTCTCGCCGTGTTTGCGGTAATAATGCTTCTTGATGCCGGTGAGGTCTCCGAGGGCACGTGAGGGGTCGTGGTGAACGCACGTGGGCTCCGGACACAGATACACTTTCCTCTTCACTTCCTTGTTCGATTTCTGGTTTACCTTAAAGTCAGAACTGACCTCTGTCCCTAAACCAGTGAACATATCTACAAGAGATTGAAGCAACTCAGCTGAGCATGATGCCAAAGCCTTGATGTTTTTAGTTGATGTCTTCTTCGAGTAACGATTTTCACTTTCAAGCTCTGATGTATTATCTTCACCCGGACAGGTTTTTGCCTCACCCGGGTTTATCTTGGGCCTAAGCTTACTTTTGTTTTGATTTACAAGCCTCTGAACAAGGCAAAAAAAATAAAAAACAATAAACGAGACCTCCCGATAGTCCTTATGCATGAAAAATTTAGGCAAAGAGTCAGCCACTTTGCTAGTGCAAACCACTATGATGTAAAATAAGCCTAGACAAAGAGGTAACTCACCTGTAAGGAGAGGGTAATGGCTTCATTCATGAAAGGGTACTTATTGATAAATTTCACCAAAAGTTTAGCTAAAGATCCAAAGTTTTGGGCTACATCAACAGGATAGTTGCAAAAGGCAGGTAACAATTCCATGAGCTCATGAGAACAGGCCTGCAACTTCTTTCTGTGAGCTGAAAAAACAAGCACAAAAGAATTAATCCTAGTATATATTTTACGAGACAATCAACTTTATGACCTTTACGATAACCATTTCACTGGGCGGAGGAAAGCTAGAAGTTGAAGATGCAAATTCAAATCTGTGAAGCATTTCAAACCCAGATATACAAGAACGGAGAAGATGGACACAATCTACTCCTTTTAATCAAGCTTTTAGGCAATCTATGTTAGTAAAAATGAAGAGCACCGAATGTATATTTAAAAAAAGAAAAGGAAAGGAAAATTTATGATGGAAGAAAGCACCTTTCCTAGAAGTTTGCAGAATGGATTTTGAAAGAGGAACAATATGCTCAATATAATACCCGAGCGATGCTCCAACAATATATCTTTTTAAGATGGGGATTAACCAGCTATTTGTACAAGAACGATTATCAGCACAAATAGAGATAGGCAGAAGTTCTAATATTTTCTCTGGCCCCATTGCAACCACTGCAGACCCAATGCAATGCTGAAGCTGTAGATCAAGTCAAATATAGCATCAATCAGAATTCAGAGACATGATGCAAAATTTCTAAATATAGGTCTTACCCTTTCTGTCCAAACTTTAATACATACAAAAATTAAACTGAGGAAAAGAGAAATGAGAGAATTGAATGAAGACCTACATGTTTTAAGCTACAAGCATCCCCTGTAGCACTCGTCATCAAGCTGGCGAGTTTAAGTACTATATTCCTCATAAGGACATACGAAAGCTCCCCTGCAAAATCGAAGATTCAAACGAACACTTCTTTAATGTTGAGTTATTCACTCACGCTGACTTTAGTTACATGGTTGGGTATATGAAAATTTGTCTGCCAATAATGAATAATGCTCAAAGACTAGCTAAGGTGATAAGGCTGCAAAAACATAGAAACAGAGTGAACATTACCTACCAAGTTTATCGATCAAAATAGCTGTTACATCTAAAATGCGCTCATTTGGAATTGCATCACATGAATCCAGGATACTCTCAAAGACAGCACATACAGATTTTGTTGCACCAATTTTGTTGCCATCTGCAACATTTTCTTCACCTTCAAATGGCAGACATCCCTCAACAATATCTTTATCTACATGGCGATTGATCAGGTCTTTTAATACATCCAAGGCTTGAGATGCAGTGTCATCATTCGAAGTAAGAAGACCTAAAGCACAGGAAATAAAAGGTTAGAAAATATCAAAATAGATGAAATAAAAGCAAAATCCAAGCCACCAGGAAGAATAAAAATACAGTAGATAGTGAATATTGAGGAAGATGAGAGATATACCTGCCAAATCACCAAAAACTAGTGGAAGCTTCTTCAGGCACAATTTGGAATCCACCAAGTGGAGTTTCTCCAAAGCACTTCTTAAAAGGATGGTCGCTTGCACGACAGTGTCTGAGGGATTCTTGTCGTGTGAAGATAAATAACCAGTGAGTGAAGTTATGATGCTCTCTATCTCAGGGACACTAATCTCATCTCTTGAATTCGCAAAGAAAACCTCCATGGCTTTGAGGATTTGCCTCGTTAGCAGTGAAAACTGAGAAGCCATAAGATTGCATAGTTCTGAAAAAGCTCTTGACCTAAGTTTGGAAGAGATAAATGGAATTGCAACACCGAGCACATTTAACACATAGACAGCCTCTGCGTTTTGGGTTTTCAATGACAAATCAACCTTAGAACCTTCATCGATCCTTGAAGAGCTTAATTCGGCTAGAACAGGTTTATACTCTTTGAATGAGGCGTACACTGTATTACTTGCCTCCTTGATAACAGTAGATGATTGCAGAGAGCCGAGTATCTTCTCCAGACACTCTTGGGCACATCTTCTGACCTAAAACAAACGCAATACATTCGACCAATATTAGATTTTTATCACACTATCATTTCTTGCAACCATGAAACATGGTCAGATATCCAAAACAACCCACAAAATTTCACTAAAGCTATTTCCTTAACAAACAAATAGCTTGAATGTCTCCTATCACAGTTGATTTCTTCAAGAATCACAGGAAAGGGAAGACTTTAATCGAATTTAATTATATAACTTGAAATTGCAGAAGATATGAAGAAAGTTTACCTTAAAGTCAGAACTGACCTCTGTCCCTAAACCAGTGAACATATCTACAAGAGATTGAAGCAACTCAGCTGAGCATGATGCCAAAGCCTTGATGTTTTTAGTTGATGTCTTCTTCGAGTAACGATTTTCACTTTCAAGCTCTGATGTATTATCTTCACCCGGACAGGTTTTTGCCTCACCCGGGTTTATCTTGGGCCTAAGCTTACTTTTGTTTTGATTTACAAGCCTCTGAACAAGGCAAAAAAAATAAAAAACAATAAACGAGACCTCCCGATAGTCCTTATGCATGAAAAATTTAGGCAAAGAGTCAGCCACTTTGCTAGTGCAAACCACTATGATGTAAAATAAGCCTAGACAAAGAGGTAACTCACCTGTAAGGAGAGGGTAATGGCTTCATTCATGAAAGGGTACTTATTGATAAATTTCACCAAAAGTTTAGCTAAAGATCCAAAGTTTTGGGCTACATCAACAGGATAGTTGCAAAAGGCAGGTAACAATTCCATGAGCTCATGAGAACAGGCCTGCAACTTCTTTCTGTGAGCTGAAAAAACAAGCACAAAAGAATTAATCCTAGTATATATTTTACGAGACAATCAACTTTATGACCTTTACGATAACCATTTCACTGGGCGGAGGAAAGCTAGAAGTTGAAGATGCAAATTCAAATCTGTGAAGCATTTCAAACCCAGATATACAAGAACGGAGAAGATGGACACAATCTACTCCTTTTAATCAAGCTTTTAGGCAATCTATGTTAGTAAAAATGAAGAGCACCGAATGTATATTTAAAAAAAGAAAAGGAAAGGAAAATTTATGATGGAAGAAAGCACCTTTCCTAGAAGTTTGCAGAATGGATTTTGAAAGAGGAACAATATGCTCAATATAATACCCGAGCGATGCTCCAACAATATATCTTTTTAAGATGGGGATTAACCAGCTATTTGTACAAGAACGATTATCAGCACAAATAGAGATAGGCAGAAGTTCTAATATTTTCTCTGGCCCCATTGCAACCACTGCAGACCCAATGCAATGCTGAAGCTGTAGATCAAGTCAAATATAGCATCAATCAGAATTCAGAGACATGATGCAAAATTTCTAAATATAGGTCTTACCCTTTCTGTCCAAACTTTAATACATACAAAAATTAAACTGAGGAAAAGAGAAATGAGAGAATTGAATGAAGACCTACATGTTTTAAGCTACAAGCATCCCCTGTAGCACTCGTCATCAAGCTGGCGAGTTTAAGTACTATATTCCTCATAAGGACATACGAAAGCTCCCCTGCAAAATCGAAGATTCAAACGAACACTTCTTTAATGTTGAGTTATTCACTCACGCTGACTTTAGTTACATGGTTGGGTATATGAAAATTTGTCTGCCAATAATGAATAATGCTCAAAGACTAGCTAAGGTGATAAGGCTGCAAAAACATAGAAACAGAGTGAACATTACCTACCAAGTTTATCGATCAAAATAGCTGTTACATCTAAAATGCGCTCATTTGGAATTGCATCACATGAATCCAGGATACTCTCAAAGACAGCACATACAGATTTTGTTGCACCAATTTTGTTGCCATCTGCAACATTTTCTTCACCTTCAAATGGCAGACATCCCTCAACAATATCTTTATCTACATGGCGATTGATCAGGTCTTTTAATACATCCAAGGCTTGAGATGCAGTGTCATCATTCGAAGTAAGAAGACCTAAAGCACAGGAAATAAAAGGTTAGAAAATATCAAAATAGATGAAATAAAAGCAAAATCCAAGCCACCAGGAAGAATAAAAATACAGTAGATAGTGAATATTGAGGAAGATGAGAGATATACCTGCCAAATCACCAAAAACTAGTGGAAGCTTCTTCAGGCACAATTTGGAATCCACCAAGTGGAGTTTCTCCAAAGCACTTCTTAAAAGGATGGTCGCTTGCACGACAGTGTCTGAGGGATTCTTGTCGTGTGAAGATAAATAACCAGTGAGTGAAGTTATGATGCTCTCTATCTCAGGGACACTAATCTCATCTCTTGAATTCGCAAAGAAAACCTCCATGGCTTTGAGGATTTGCCTCGTTAGCAGTGAAAACTGAGAAGCCATAAGATTGCATAGTTCTGAAAAAGCTCTTGACCTAAGTTTGGAAGAGATAAATGGAATTGCAACACCGAGCACATTTAACACATAGACAGCCTCTGCGTTTTGGGTTTTCAATGACAAATCAACCTTAGAACCTTCATCGATCCTTGAAGAGCTTAATTCGGCTAGAACAGGTTTATACTCTTTGAATGAGGCGTACACTGTATTACTTGCCTCCTTGATAACAGTAGATGATTGCAGAGAGCCGAGTATCTTCTCCAGACACTCTTGGGCACATCTTCTGACCTAAAACAAACGCAATACATTCGACCAATATTAGATTTTTATCACACTATCATTTCTTGCAACCATGAAACATGGTCAGATATCCAAAACAACCCACAAAATTTCACTTTATCACTTATAAGTAGTTATTATAGCAAAAGAAAAACGGCTCCATAACTCCTCTGTAACCTCAAAACTAGATCTACTGACGGTTTTCCAGTAGCAATGTCACCGTGATCATAGGATTGAACTGAAGGTAAGATTTTTCTTTTTCATCTAAAAAGTTGCAGAGATATAAACCCAACACTTCAATGAAAAAAAAATCGAAAAAAAATCGCAATGACGAAAACAGCTAGGCTATGGGCAGTTGTGATGTATCAATCTAATACAAAATCGCTTAACAGAGAAGTAATACCTTGGGCCGCTTATCAACGGCGAATTTGAGAAGAGAAGCAAAACCTAAATCAAGACTTTCCCAATCATCCAAATTACAGAAGCCAATTAGCAACGTCCCGATACATTTCACACCACCTCTCAAGCTCGCCACACCTAACTTCTCTTCGTCTCTATCAATAAGGCTCACCAGTACTGTCACAGCTTCTCGGGCCTTTTCCGTTGAAATCTCCCCGGAAGGAACCAGAGGGACAACTATGGACAGAAAGGTAAGCAGAGCAGAAACCGCCACAGGATCCGTCGCCGGTGAGTTCACGGTGGAATCCGCGGAGGATATCGCGGCAGCGAAGTACGCCGGAGGCGTCGAAGGCAGAGACTCTGCGACTAGGATAGAGCGCATTGCGGCGGCGGTGGCGACGAGGTGGCCGTGCTGCGCGGCGGAGGATTTGGCGTAACGGTCCATGAGCTGTTGGCAGATGTCTGTATCTCCATCTTTGATCGTGAGTTCGTCGTTTTCTTCGGCTCTCTTTTGCTGACCTGCTTCCGCAGCCGCCATGATCGCGCGAGCTCCGGTGGTTTTTCTAGGGTTTAAGAAAGAGAAGAAGATGAAATTGGACAACTAAATAAGTAATAACGGTTGAGCAAACCGGGGTCATAACGGTCCGATTTTGCTATTGCAAGAAAATTCGATTTCGGATTTTCAGTGTTTTATATGGAATATAATATTCAAGAGCCCATATCTACAACGGACATTACCTTGGCCCATTAAGAAAGAAATGTACTTTTGGGCCAAATTTGACGGAGCCGATATTTTTCATCGGTAAAAAAAAAAAAGATGATTTAGAAAAAATGTTGATAGTAGTAAAATAAATCGATATATTATTTGAGTAATTCTGTGATCGTACAAATACATATATCACTAGGGTCTCGTGATTCATCAGAAAACGAGCGATCTAAACCATAATTTTTCCAGTTCGTTAAAAAACGAGCCTAACGAAGTAGAGTTCATTGAACACGTAAGTCTGGCTCGGCGATCTGGCGAACTGTTCAATGAGTTGATATTTTATATTAATTTTTTTCATATCATTTATATGATATTATAAATATACTAATTATTATGATGGTGATAATTGAAAATATTAAATGATATTGGTGTTTTATTAAATTTTTATGTATTTAATTAAATTTATAATTATATTTAAAATAAATATAATAAAAAATATTATGTATCATTGCCTCAACGAACCGACTCATTCAGATCGGAAAACTGGCGAGCGGTTTGAATCGAGGTTTTTCTGGCTCGTTAGAAAATGAGGCTAACGAGTTGAGCCCAAAACAATCCGAACCAAATGAGCTGAACCTAAAATGATCCGAACTGTCTCGTTTGACACCCCTATATATCACGTCGAATTCAACAGAGTCACACACCATTTCATCAATCTTTTATATTAAGCAATATATGACTACATAATTTATTATTATTTTTTATGTTTTATTATTTTGCTTTAATTTTTATTATTTATTTTAATAAGATATGGTGCATGACGTGGGGTGCCACGCTATTGTCAAGTAAAAAAAATTAACGGTGTTAATTACCGTTTTGGAGAAGTGTGGGATTTGGCAAAATTTGAATAGTTTGTTTTTTATATATAGTAACTTCATATTATTTTATAGAAATCGAAAAATTCAGTATTTAATTTGAGAATTTGGGTAAAGTTGAGTGTTAATCTCCCTCAACCATATAATTATAGAAATTACAATATAATATTTGTTTATTTTTCATTCAATATGACATTTTGTGATTCAAACAATACCGATTTGGTTCTGTTAAATGATTAATTATAATTTAAATTTATTATAATTTATCACGCTACGATTAATTTACAATATGAAATTCAAAAACTTATTTATCTATGTAATGCCTAAATAGTTTATTAATGGGCAATGGAATTTTCAATTTTGTGCGTATGTGGTTTTCAATGGTATCTAATTTATAAAATCTTGTTGAGTAGGACACAATATTGTTTGTAGAAATAACTTTTTCGTTTTTTTCAATTAAATTAACTTCAGTCCTCAACATTTTTTGCGAATGGTTAAAAGAGAATATGTAGAGTAAGTTGAATATTGTTTACTTAATAATATTTAATGTTCATTTATAAAATGTGATATTTTTTTGGAAAACTAAAAATAACTAATCTTTTTTTAATTCTTTTAATACCTTAATTTTTTCCCCTTTCATTCTAATACTAAGCTTTGAAAATTTTGAAATTAATTCTCACTCTTTGTTTGGTGTATTTGTCGCCCATTCTTTTTTATTAGTAGTTTACTTTTTGGGCAAGAATGATTAATCCTTAAAATAAACGGCTAATCGCCTTGGAGACGATCGTATATATCAGAGAATTTAAATTTATTTCCCCTCCCTCTCCCTCATTCTCTCTCTCTCGCACCATGTCAATGCCATTTTCCTTTGGGAGTCGCAAGGACCGACGGGTCTCTGACCCAGATGGATTCGCGGAGAGCTTCTCTTCGTTGCCGGTAACAGACTGGTCCGGCTCGGCCGAGGAGTTCCTCGAAATGACGATCGATTTGCGACTCGGGGATTCCTTCGTGCTACGCAACGTGGAGCCCGCAGTCGCCGTCGAAGTTTCCGGCTCAGAGCCGCAGATCACTTCTGGCTCCGCTTTCGGATCACGATCGAGATCTCAGAGCACACCGCCGAGCCTCCGGCTCAGAGAGCTCAAGGCGGTGGCCATGGCGAAGCAATTCTCCGATGATCTTACTGCGAGGCTGAAGGAGATCTCATGGCGAGGATGCGGTCACTCGACTCGTTCGGCGCCGGAGACCGTTTCTTACGGCGGCGGAATTATCAACTCGGCTGTTTTCTCTCGGTCGTTGAGTAAGCGACCAACGAAGACTCATCATAGTGGATCCCCGACGGAGAGAGCGATCCGCGGTTTGAGATTCATCAGCAGCAAGGAGAATGGCATCATCATCGACGCCTGGGAGGAAGTCCAAAGAAAATTCGATGAACTTTCCACAGACGGTTATCTTCACCGCAGTGAATTTGCTCGATGCATAGGTTCGACATTATTTTCACGTTCTCTTTTTCAGATTCCATTGGAATTCCCAGCGATGGTGAAAGGTATCTATTGATTGATTTATGTTCTGTTGTTGAAAGGGATGGAAAACTCGAAAGAGTTTGCAGAGGAGTTGTTCGATGCATTGTGCAGGAGAAGACAGTCAATGATCGCCAAAATCAGTCGAGATGAACTCTATGAGTTTTGGTCTCAGATCACGAACGAGAGCTTCGATTCTCGGCTGCAAATCTTCTTCGACATGTATTTGCTATTCATTAATTCAAATTCAAACTGTAGCATACTGATTTCTTTAGGTTTCTTTCACCAACAGAAGGCATTTGAAATGGTAAAAGGACAAGGAAAGTGACAGCGTAGTTGCTTAAGATAAAGGCATAAACGTTTCCATATGGTCAAGTCTACTTTAATTAAAGAAAAAGGATCAAGTAGTTTTGGTTTCTGTTTTGGTATTACATCTACACCATGGTTTGAAGAAACTATGCATGAAAACCAGTTAGGGGATTTCCTCGTCGGTTAAAATGAATTTTCTACATCTTTTTCACATCTTCATCGTGTGTGCAAATGTTTCTTTTTACCATCTGCAAATGACTATTAGATTCTCAGATTGTAACTAATAAATTGATTTCCTTTCACTTTTAGTTTTAATATTGTGTGATTTGACGTTCAATGTTGCAGGTTGAACACGAATGGAGATGGTAGAATCACAGAGAATGAAGTAAAAGAGGTGATTGAGGCTCTCCTTCCCTTTTGTTGTTCATCTCTAGGAAGTTGGATTAAAGTTACGCTCTGCATTGACTTAATAGTTTAAACATGCACGCCGATATTACAGTTTCATGAGTTAATTTTATGCACGACAATCCAATGCATATAAATCTTTCCCATTTAAGCAGCTGTTTAACTAATGAATTTTCTGAACTGACAAGTACGCCATTATCTTTTCATTTATAGTATATTCTATCTTGGGTTGTTTATAAGTTAGTCTTCCCAAATTGCAGTTTATTTATATACCCTTGGCAGCTACTTGGCGATCTTGAATGATTCTCTTTCATGAATTCTATTAACTAGCCCAGTTTATTTAGAGAATCTAGTTGCAATTTTTTTATTTATATGTCATGTTTACCTTATTCGTATGTATATAAAGTTGCATTGACCTTCTAGCAGCTTGCTTAGTACTACCTACCAACCGTATTGTTTATGAATTTTGTTTTCTCAGTCAACGAATGGTTTCTTCTTGAATTTTAAAGTAAAAGATTCTCCCTGAATTAAATTATGGTGTATGTTTTGCTTTGAAATTGTCAAAACATAGATAATTATGATAAGTGCCTCGGCAAGTAATCTATCGAGGCTGAGAGAACGAGCAGAAGAATATGCCGCCTTGATCATGGAAGAGTTAGCCTCTGATGAGCTCCCGTACATAGAGGTAGTCCATTCTTTTCATCTCAAGCCCCTTAATGTGAAAGGCCTTACATACAACATGTTCAATATACATACTATTAGGTTGCATTTATGCGCCTGCGTGTGCGCTCCCACATATTAGGGTCTTTGCAGTTTCCTTCATATTTCATGCCAGCGACCAGTTATTGCTTGTTGGACGTTCACTAACTGATGACAAAGTCAAGTCACATATCTTTATCAGATTTTTCCCTTTCACTTCTCTGATAAGGACACACGATCAAATCTTTGAACAAATTGTTTAGTCATGTTTTCTGACCTCAAAGCGAGAACTGGAAAGGGGCAAAAGAAGAAACCAATGAGCTTTTTTAAGCTAAGTGGTACCCCAAGTCATCTCCATAATAGAGGGATTTCAGGTCAAGCTCCGTGTGGAACCAATAGAAGAAAGTTAAAGAAGAAACAGGCAACTAGAGATCCATATAAGGAGCTTTAATTAATCTGGCTATCTTTTCTTTACTTAGGTTAGGCGTGTTCAAACTGATGGTATCATCACTCTGTTAATAGCTCGTGGATATATCTGCATTTCTTTTGAACTGAATTTTGACATCGACATGTTTTGGGTGTTAGGACATTAAGTGAGCACTAAAACAGTCGAACAAAGTGTTTAATTCTAAGGTACTCAAGGGAAAGCCTTTTACAGCTTTTGTTGCTAGACTTTGATTTGGGAATGTGAATGAGCTATATGATAAGAACAAACAAATAGTAGCATTAACTGTCAATTCAGTTTGGTTAATGTTCTGATTATGTTTTTTGCACGGTCTGCTATAATGCAGGTAAGGCAACTAGAGATACTATTACTAGAAAAAGATATCTCTCATAGCTACAGTCAATCATTCCGCACAAGCCGGGCCTTAAGCCAGAACCTACCGGACGTAAGATGGAAAATTCCTGTGAGGAGAATGAGCAGAAACTTGCTTTACTCTTTGCGAGAGAATTGGAGGAGGATTTGGGTTTTATCATTGTGGTTTGTCATCATGGCCGGGTTATTCACGTGGAAATGTTTTCAGTATAAGAAGAAAGATGCATATCATGTGATGGGTTGCTGCCTCCTCATGGCAAAGGGTGCAGCTGAGACACTGAAGTTCAATATGGCCTTTATCCTTTTGCCCGTCTGCAGGAATACCATCACTTATCTCAGGTCCACAGCTTTGTCCAACTTCGTACCTTTCAACGATAACATCAATTTTCACAAGGTTAGAACCATCTCCATTCCTCCTTTATTTTCCTTTTTCTTTTCTAGGATTTAGTAATGACGACGTGACTGAAAGATCCGAAATTATGGACAAGCAATATCAGATTGGAATATTGAATTACGTCCCAAACTACCCTGATTGTGACGGCCTTGGCGATTTTGTTTGATTACAGATTATCTCTTTGGCCATAATGCTTGGAGTGATTCTACACGTTTCAAACCACCTTGTTTGCGATTTCCCAAGGATTCTAAGATCATCTGAAGATGATTACCGACGCTATCTGATTCATTACTTTGGATCAACCAGGCCCACATACGTTGACTTGGTCAAAGGTCCCGTGGGAGTCACTGGACTTCTAATGGTTATCTGTATGATAATTGCCTTCACTTTAGCTAGTCGAAGATGCAGGCGAAACCTCACCAGGTTGCCAAAGCCATTTGATAAACTAACAGGCTTTAATGCCTTCTGGTATTCACATCACCTACTTATAATTGTTTACGTGTTGCTAATCGTCCATGGTGTTTTCATCTATCTCGTGCAGAAATGGTACCTCAAGACGGTATAACTTCTCTAGCTCTTTGGCTTACATATGGTTATTATTTCATTGAAAACTAATTGGTTGGAAACGAGTAACAGGTTATGTCTGTGTTCAGACATGGATGTACCTTGCTGTGCCATGTATCCTGTACTCTGGGGAAAGGGTCTTGAGGTTCTTCCGTTCCAGGCTTTACACCGTCCAAATCCACAAGGTCATTGTTACATTTCGAATGCAATCTATATAGGAAGTCACATTGTACATCATCCCAATAAATAATTCATTTTACATTTATCTATCTCTCGAAAAAAGATATCCTTACATCAGCCCAATGGTACCATTTCAGGTCGCCATTTATCCGGGAGATGTTGTAGCGTTGCATATGTCAAAGCCTCCTTCTTTTCATCATAAGAGTGGACAATTTATGTTCGTTCAGTGCCCTGCCGTATCTCTGTTTGAATGGTGAGTTTTCTGTGACAAGTTTTGGATGATATCAAAAGGATTTCACAGTTGGATTATCATTATTACCCTGTTGTAGTTTCTGAAAATGCAATTCGCAAAATATTATTTGATTTTGAAGAAATGGCGTGAAAAATGTAAGCGTTCGAATTAAAATCCCTGCTCCAGGCATCCATTTTCTATAACTTCTGCTCCGGGGGACGACTACCTCAGCATTCACATTCGTCAACTTGGAGACTGGACAAAAGGGCTCAAAAAGGTATTCTCAGAGGCATGTGTGGCTCATGAACCAGGAAAAAGCGGGCTTCTCCGGATGGAAGGTTCAACCAACAAAAGGTGCATCAAACTTAAAACCCATATAGAAACACTGCATAACTTTTGCATTTCCGGGTTATATTACACATATGTAGTTGACGTCTTGTAATAGTTTGCCTGAGCTCCTGATAGATGGACCATACGGCGCCCCAGCACAAGACTACTGCAAATATGATGTGTTGTTACTCATCGGACTCGGAATTGGCGCCACCCCTTTCATCAGTGTCTTGAGAGATTTGCTCAATAACATTGTTAGACAACAAGAACAAGCTGTGAATAAAATTCCCAAGCAGCAAAAGAAGAAGCCGGAGACCAACAAGGCGTACTTCTACTGGGTTACACGAGAGCAAGGCTCGTTCGATTGGTTCAGAAACGAGATGAACGAAATCGCTGACCTTGACCAAATGGTAAAAACACTAATCCTCTACTCCTGACAGATGCTTAAAAAAAAATACTCACACCAGTCTTTGTTGTAACAAAAGGATGTCACTGAGATGCACAACTACTTGACTAGTTTCTATGAGGAAGGCGAGGCTCAATCCAATCTTATCACCATGATCCAATCTCTGAACTATGCCAAGAACGGCGTCGACATCCTTTCTGGAACCAAGGCAAGATCCTCTTCCCGTTTTATTCCTCACGACTCACGAGATTTGAAAGGATAAGATCGAATTACGTTTTCGTTTTTGAATATCACTTTTAAGGTAAAATACTTGATGACCATAGCAATAAAAGGTCAGTTTTCGCGTCTAATTAGGTACGGACTCATTTCGGGAGGCCGAAATGGAAGAAGGTTCTAACAAAGATAAGCGACGATCGCACTAGCGCCGCAAGAATAGGTAAATACAATACTAAACAAAAGAATCGATCAACGGTTTGCCGTATTTGTTGTTTCCTCTCTGGAAATGGTGTAATGTGTTCATGGCAGGAGTGTTCTACTGCGGAGTACCAGCCTTGGCCAATGAACTCTCCCAACTCTGCCATGAGTTTAACCAAAAGGGCTCTTCCAAGTTCGAGTTCCACAAGGAACAGTTCTAAAGAAGGATATTCATATTCACTCAGTCAAAATATCCAGGTAACATCCACCCAAAACTACTCTCTTGCTCATATATCTTTCTTCCAATGTACAGTCACTGAACGATCATATCAAATTCTTGTACTCCATTGTTGCATCGTTTTCGTTTTCATCAGGAACCTTTTTGAATTGGGCCAAATTTTGCTTACATTCCTGGAGGTTAGATGCCAAAACAAACATGAAGAAATGTAAAAGACTTCGTATTCTTTACCTTGGGGGTAGTATATATACTATTGGGGAATATCTAGCTGTATTATGCCTATATGGCAACTTCCATATTGCATTCGACATTTCTATTTGTATAGCTAGGTTAAGATGTTAGTCTTGGTCAATACATAAACGCAGACATGTACGTATGAATAGAACAGAGAAGATTTCTTGGAGATAACGGCTCAAACCGTGTCATGGTATCAGAGCCCGACACCTTACTCTTCGATTTACGCTTCTGATCTATGTCTTCCGACACCGACACCGACAACACGACCCCGAATCTGACCCCGATTCCGACTCCGATTCCGATTCCGACAATGAATCAACAGACAGCGACCGATGCAACCGTCGTAGTTCAACGTCGCATGATTTCTTCTTCTCCGAACGTCACTGGCAGAGGTCGTGGTACCTATGCTCACGCGAATGCTGCACAGGTCACGCATTCTTCTAACTCTGTGTCAGTTCCTGTCTTAGAGGGTGATAAGAACATCATCAGTGGCATATCTTCAGAACAGTGGCAGACCTTGATGGCTATGATCAATGCCAACAACGTAGGCACGACTGAGACATTATCCGGTAAGAACTCTGTTGTCTCTTGGATCCTTGACTCCGGTTGTTCTCAACATATGACAGGGACTTTGTCTGCTTTAACTGCTGTGACTACAATGTCTCCATGCTCAGTAACGTTGCCGGATGGCAGACAAGTTTTCGCGGTTCATTCAGGATATGTTTCGTTGTCTGGCACTCTTCGTCTGTCCAATGTCTTCTATGTTCCGGGCCTCCATTGCAACCTGATATCCATCTCTCAGTTGTTGGCGGAATCTGGTTGTTTTATCACTTTCGCTCATAACTTCTGTGTGATTCAAGACCGTATTACTAGGATGGTGATTGGAGCGGGTGAACAACGAGCAGGACTGTATTACTTTCGGGGATCAGAAACCGTGGCCGCAACTCGAGTTTCGGCAGTGCAGTCCTTTGATTTGTGGCACAAACGATTGGGTCATCCGTCATCTAAAGTCCTGGCAAAGATTTCTGATTTTGTTTTTTCCGATAGTTGTTCTGAGAATAAAGCTTGTGATGTTTGCTTCCGAGCGAAACAGACTCGAGATTCTTTTCCGATGAGTATGAGTAAAGCTTCGGCAATTTTTGAGTTAATTCACTGTGATTTATGGGGTCCGTATCGAAAAGCTTCTCACTCAGGTGCCAAATATTTTCTGACTATTGTGGACGATTTTTCCCGAGGAACCTGGATATATCTGTTGACTAGTAAAAGTGAAGCTCAACGACATCTCCGAAACTTTATGACAATGGTAGAAAGGCAATTCGGTGCACTTGTCAAAATAGTTCGATCGGATAATGGCTTGGAATTCATCAGTCTTCGTAACTACTTCTCAGAAAAGGGAATTGTGCATGAAACTTCGTGTGTCGGAACGCCACAACAAAACGGTCGAGTTGAGCGTAAGCATCGTCACATCCTAAATGTTGCTCGCGCCTTACTTTTTCAAGCGAATCTTCCCGTTGATTTTTGGGGTGAAAGCGTGCTTACGGCTGCATATCTTATCAACCGAACACCGTCTTTTGTTCTTGATGGAAAGACGCCTTATGAGCTCATACATGGTCATCCGCCAAAATATGATCATCTTCGTATTTTCGGAAGCCTATGTTATGTTCATAACCAGAATCGTGGAGGGGATAAATTTGCATCGCGGAGTTCTCGATGTATCTTCGTTGGTTACCCTTTGGGACAGAAAGGTTGGCGGGTCTACAATCTCGAAACCAAATCTTTCCTTGTATCTCGTGATATTGTCTTTGTTGAAGATGAATTCCCTTATCATGAGTCTGCTCCGCCGCGTTCAGATTCTTCGTCTATTCCTCCACCTACCAGTGCTTGGGTTTTCGATGACGAGCATGCCTCTTCACAACCTCTACCATTTGCTCCGACGCCGTTAGCTGAAACATCGTCTTCGGCCTCTATTGACTCGAGCACTGGCTCACCCATGCTCATATCTCCGGCCAGGGGGGGCTCAACTCCTGATGTTCCTATTACCCCTCGATCTCTTTCTGCAGATTCCATCACGTATGATCGCCTTTCCCCGCTGCACCGACAATTCATAGCTGCTGTCACCACAAACCGAGAACCCAGATCATACAATGAAGCTGCTCAAGATGCTCGATGGCGCCAGGCCATGAGGGATGAAATTGACGCTCTTGAGTCGAACAAAACCTGGACGCTTGAGACATTGCCGCCTACCAAACGTGCGATTGGCTGCAAATGGATTTTCCGAATAAAGTACAGATCTGATGGTACAGTGGAGCGTTACAAAGCCCGCCTTGTTATTCTTGGAAACAAGCAAACCGAAGGTATTGATTACGAGGAAACTTTTGCTCCGGTTGCCAAAATGGTTACGGTTCGAACGTTTCTTGCTGTAGCTGCTGCTCGTAATTGGCCGGTTCACCAAATGGACGTCCACAACGCGTTTCTACATGGTGATTTGAGGGATGAGGTCTATATGAAGCTTCCCCCGGGTTTTTCTCCGTCCAATCCGAACCAAGTGTGCCGTTTACATAAGTCTCTATACGGCCTAAAACAGGCCCCTCGTTGCTGGTTCGCGAAACTTGGCTCGGCATTGCGCGACTATGGCTTCATCCAGTCACAGTCCGATCACTCGTTGTTCGTATTCCATCAAGGGCAGACTCGGATCCATGTGTTAGTATATGTCGACGATCTTCTGCTCACCAGCAACTCCTCCTCGGCTCTGGATAATTTTAAATGTTATCTCAGTTCTTGTTTTCGTATGAAGGACCTGGGACTGCTTAAATATTTCCTTGGCCTTGAAGTTGCTCGAAGCTCACATGGTATTTCCTTGTGCCAACGGAAATATGTGCTCGATATCTTGGCCGAAACCGGATTACTTGGTGCTAAGCCAGCTGCGTTTCCTCTCGAGCAAAATCATCGTCTTGCTATCTCGACTAGTGTTGTTCTTGCCGACCCTGAACCATACCGTCGCCTAGTAGGTCGTCTGCTATACTTACTTGCTACACGGCCCGACATCACTTACTCGGTTCATGTCTTGTCACAGTTTATGCAGCAACCACGCACCGATCATTGGGACGCTGCCCTTCGAGTAGTTCGGTACTTGAAACGCAATCCGGGACAAGGCATTTTGCTGCGCTCTGACTCTGATCTACGTCTCTATGGCTGGTGTGATTCGGATTGGGCAGGCTGCCCAAGCTCGCGGAAATCGCTCTCAGGGTGGCTCGTCCAACTCGGCAATTCTCCAGTCTCTTGGCGGTCGAAGAAGCAACATACAGTCTCTCTATCGTCTGCTGAGGCTGAGTATCGGGCTATGGCCGCTGCTACTTGTGAATTGTTGTGGTTAAAAGGCCTTCTTCATTCCCTTGGTGTTTCACATTCCGACCCAATGCTGCTCCATTGTGATAGCCAAGCCGCTTTACACATTGCTGCAAATGACGCATTTCATGATCGCACCAAGCACATTGAAGTCGACTGTCACTTCCTCCGTCACCATGTGAGCTGCAAAACAGTTGTCACACGACACGTTCCAAGCTCTCTCCAACTTGCGGACATCTTCACGAAGGCTCTCGGCAAAAAGGAGTTCGACACGTTTTTGTCCAAGTTGGGCATATATGACATATACGCTCCAACTTGAGGGGGGGTATTGGGGAATATCTAGCTGTATTATGCCTATATGGCAACTTCCATATTGCATTCGACATTTCTATTTGTATAGCTAGGTTAAGATGTTAGTCTTGGTCAATACATAAACGCAGACATGTACGTATGAATAGAACAGAGAAGATTTCTTGGAGATAACGGCTCAAACCGTGTCATATACACTTGGTAAATAGAAAAAATTTACCCTCATCATCTTTTATTAACTCCGAGAAATAAAAAAAAATGCTGACTACATTACTAACTCAGCAATGAAAAGGGGCTTTCCATGTGGGATTGGTACAAATGAAAAATGGGCATCTTGAAACCCCCCCCCTAAAAACTTTATAAATCTTTCATCAATGTTTCGAGAAACAAGCCAGAAACATCATCGCAGGTGGTTTTATTTGGATTTCTTTTGCTGGTCTAAAACCCTAGCTCCGGCGATCTTAACAACAGGTTCGTCTTTTGGCCGTATAAGCTTTAGCTCGGGGTGAACCTTGAGGTCTCCCATCACTATCTTTTGCCCCACGTCCAATTCACTCAGATCTACATCTATATATGGAGGGATAATCTCCGCCGGGCAGAGGAACTTGACCGTTCTTTTGATCGTATTCAGATACGCTCCTAAAAAATGATTTCATACAAAAAAGTATAATAATCAAAATGAAAAACCGAGCAGAAAGATTCAAGAACCCGATGCTACAATCCGTAGAACTAGGTTGGAAAACAAACCACGTTTATTTTTCCTTCATGTCATTTCAAGAAAGGGAAAGAAGCTCAAATCTATAATGGCATAATGAGAAAACACTAGTTACTGACATATTTTCTGTAGTAAGGAATACTTTGCCACAAAATTTGCATAGATAGCTCTAAAAGGATACAAAACATGAAAAAAATATAGAACAAATATCTTGGCCACTGACCTTTCCTTAATCCAGGAGATACATCTTCTCCTCTGAACACGAGAGGGATGTCGACCTTCAACAAAGCACCAGGCTGTGCTCTAATGAACGTCAGGTTCAATGGAGCATCTGTTCGCGCACTCAAATGAAGCTGTTACATCTCATGGCCAGAAACGTCTCCGATATGTTAAAAACCCATAAACACAATCAGGATCCATACCCATTAACCCAAACATCATTCCTCAAATCAAGAAACAGAAATAAGTAAAAGATTTGGTTTTTGATTCAAGGAAAAGGTAAGAGACCGCAACAATTTGAGAGCAGATGACACAATGCATTATACAGTACCATACTTTCCCATCATATGGATCATATTAAACCAAAATTGAAATGAGGGTTTTGGGTATATTACAAATATATATGTACCTACAGAAACGATTCATCAATGCCAAGACTAGTCCACAACCATTTCCTAACTAGATCAAAATAATGCATTGCTAGTCGGGGAGTGTCCTGAACGAGTTCACAAGCAAATGCGACATGGGAAAAAGGAAGAAAAAGCAAAGACTTTACCAGTCTAGGCAAAGCCTGGACTTTCTCGATGACGTCATCGGAGCCAAATTCTGGTCGGACCTCGAAATCAAAGAGCCTGGACAGGAAGAAGGACCGACCCAGATGAGTAACCAGTTTCCTGATCTGATTGGTCTGAACGGACACAAGCCTCTTGTTCCCGCCATTCTGCCCGTCCTCCTGCTCGAAAATTATGGAAGGGACCCGACCCGCTTTCCGCTCCTTGGCGGCGATGCTCTTGCCGGAGGCAGACCGAGGTACGGCCAAGATCGTCTCGGCGAACTTCGGGTCCGGTCGCGGAAACCCGGGGAGATAGCTTAATTCCGATACTTCGTTCTGCTCGATAACCGCCGCGGTCTCCGCCGGAGAGTATAACCGGAGGCTTTCTAGGGATTTTGGCAGTGCCGTTGCACGACGGAGCAACATCGCTTACCACTACCAGAGAGAGAGGGCTTTACTTTACATGCTGAAGAAATGCGGGGGTTTTCTTCTGAACGTAAACAAGCGACGCCGTTTGAATCTGAAATGGGCCTAAATGAAGCCTTTAACCTGATATATTTGGGCCTAATTATAGGCCCATTAGTGTGTCCATAAGTGATTCGGCCATTATTCATGTGGAGCATGGAAAATGGTATCCAACGCATATTCCTTTCGATATGTTCTTTTAACCTGAGGCCTACCCGCTAAATGTCTAAACTACCCTCAACATATACCAAAAACTCCTTTTTTTATACCGTACCGAACCATCAGATTCGGTTCAGTTTTGTTTTAGATTTTGAATCCGCTATTCGGTTTCATGGTTAGTTTCGCAATCATATCAAGAGATAAATTTAAACCGCTTCGACATGGTTTAATAAATCATTTATTTCAGGCATATGGAATACCATAGAATCTAATAAACCGGTACACCCTAAAGGGTGGGATGGTATTGGTAAGGGCAAAAGCGTCAGACAAAAATGATTGCATTGCCGTCAAGATCTCCTCCGCGGTTTACTATTTAGTCTCTGCTTTAGAACAAAAAGAAACTACTCTCCAGCAACAATCAGCTCTGCTCTTCTTCCTTTCCTCTCCCAACATAAAGAGGTCCCTCTCTCTCTCAATAATATCATTTTCTTGGTATATGATTTTTTCCACTTTTTTGAAAGAAAATCGTTATTGAAATTACTTTTTCCTAACTTATTGGTTGATTTTTGTCGTCTTCATTTTTTTTTAACTTCTAAATGTATTAACATGTATTTGCTATTGCATGTTTTAATTGAATTGTGGATTAAAACATAACATCAATTTTTATTTTACATAGAATATGAGTTTGTCAGTTTTTTTTATATAATAAACCCTGCATATTCGATGAGTGATGGTCAACTTCTTAGCCAAATTTTAACCAACGAATATACGAATTGGTCGACAAGTACATTTACTTGTTTTTCTTGGCCCAATGAAAATTCTGATTAGGCTTCATTACATGCCGAGCCCATTGGGCCCCATCTGGCCCATCAAACTAAATATTTTTTTTTTCGTCATACAAATCGTTATCACTTTCGAGCCACCGGAAGATATATCACTTTCTAGAACTTATTAAATTATATATTATGCATATCATATAAATTACAACAACAAGAATAATGATATAATTATTTAGTAAATTTCTTTGATGTAGACCGAATGAGCGTGACTCACATGTGTATGGATGGCAGCTATTCAGCCACGTTTCAGGCGATGGTTTGTTCAGGCTCCGAGTGACATCTGATTTTTGCCGAAATAAATAAATAAATCTTAATGGTGCTTTTCTATTGCCACGTAACGTCCCGGCTGACGGAGCCGTTAATCCACCTGGCCCTGAACGAGGACATCTACGCGCAAGAAGCCGTTATCTCTGACGCCGTCATATCTCGGTCCTATAAAAAAAAAATATGTACTACCCATGCCTGCATATTCAGGGTCGAACAAACGGACGGCTCAGATCAAACCATCATTTCAACGGATGAGATTGAGTTTGCGAGTGGCCTCTGTGTTTTTAGGCTTCGAGATCTTTCTCGTAGGGGTCAAAAGTGCTTTGAACACTCGTTGATATCGGAAGCTTGGATCTCCGTGAATCGATCGGAAACTATGGCGGAGGAGCAAAAGCACGAGGAATCTGCGCTGGCTACGGAACCGGCGGTGGAAGTAGTGGAAAGGGAATCGTTGTTGGACAAGATATCGGAGAAGATCCACCACGGCAGCGATTCGTCGTCATCGTCTGATGACGAGGACGAGAAGAAGGCATCTTCTCCATCTTCTCTCAAGGCAAAGGTTTACCGCTTGTTCGGGAGGGAGAAGCCTGTGCACAAGGTTCTCGGCGGCGGGAAACGTATGTTTACTCTGATCCTGTCTCATTTCTCTCAAGTTTCGTCCTGATTTCGTTTGATAGAGCTTGATCTGATCCATGTATGTGTTTTGTGGTTGATTGTTTCAAGTTGGTGTTGAAATTGTAGAAATCGGTAATTTTGGGGAGAACTTCAAGAGCATAGTAGGTTTTCTGGTACTGTGCGATTTAATCCGCATGGTACATGCGTTAAGCTTCAAATACGAAGTTAGATATTGATTTTTCTTGTTGTGGTTTATCTGTGATCATCTGGACAGATAATCGTTGTTTGGAGCAAATTTATTTATTTTTATTGGTTTTGTTCAGTTTTTAGGGTTTGATTTTTAACTTTAACCTGCGTTCAACTTGACTGTTTTGAACATAAAAGATGGGTTTTTATGTTTCTCATCTATGGACGGTAATGATGTTTACTCTTTTGCTTTATAGTCTTCGTAAATGCAGGAACCCTGAAATGGTAGTGTATTTAGCCATTTTTATGGGGGAAATGTTCTTGTTTGATGATTTTGTCAGACTCGGTTGCTTGTTATGTATTGTTAATGAATCTTTTGATGTTTGAATTGCAGCGGCAGATATATTCATGTGGAGGAACAAGAAGATGTCGGCTAGTGTACTTGGCGGTATAACAGCTGTCTGGGTGTTGTTCGAACTGGCGGAGTACCACCTTCTCACTCTGCTCTGCCATGTCTTGATTGCTGTCATCGCTGTGTTGTTCCTATGGTCTAATGCAAGCATGTTTATTCACAAGTAAGTTGAGACTGATGACTGATCTTATGAATGGCTTTACTTATCAGGATATGCTCATCGGTTATGCCAGATTGATATTGTTGATGATAATTTTTTCTCCTTCAGGTCCCCTCCAAAGATTCCGGAAGTTCACATCCCTGAAGAACCAATTCTCCAGCTTGCTTCTGGGCTCAGAATTGAGATCAACCGGGCATTCACTTGTTTGCGAGACATTGCTTCTGGAAGAGATCTCAAGAAGTTTCTCTCCGTAAGTCTTAAATCTGCTGATTGTAAATTATCTGAAACTTTCACCATTAAACGTGACCATGCTACCAAACCATTGGGGTTTGATTAGGCTATTGCTGGCTTGTGGGTGCTGTCGATCCTCGGGGGCTGCTGCAACTTCTTGACATTGTCCTATATCGGTAATTCTTCACCTGCCCAATTCATCATTTGCTTCCATTAGGGGTTAGTCTTAAACAACGGTGAGATGTATATAAACTGTGATTGTTGGGTGGCAGCTATGGTGATGCTCTTCACCATCCCGGTACTGTACGAGAAGTATGAAGACAAGGTGGACGCATACGGGGAGAAAGCAATGGTGGAGATCAAGAAGCAGTATGCGGTTTTGGACGAAAAGGTACTAAGCAAGATCCCGAGGGGACCGTTGAAGGGCAAGAAGAAGGATTAGGACAGGGAGATATTGTCTGGTGTTTGGGAAAGGTGGTGTTTGTGAAATCGTGGTGCAGTTATCAGATTGATGTCTAATTTTGTTTTTCTGGGGGGGTCAGCGTGAATCGGATACTTTTGTTTGCTTTCTTTTTGTTCTGTGTTTATGTGACTCTGATGCTTCCGCTGTGAGGCAATTCCTTTTGTAAGGAGGTAACTAGTTTGTACTCGCGCGTTATGTTACTGTGGCGTGATGTTTCCTACAGGTACTGGGACGGAAGCAGGAGAATCTTCAACGGGTCTAGAAATAAATACATTTATTGATATTATACATCAAAAGTCAGGATGGCCGAGTGGTCTAAGGCGCCAGACTCAAGTTCTGGTCCTCGTTAGAGGGCGTGGGTTCAAATCCCACTTCTGACAACCTTTTTATTCTTTTAAATCCTTCAAATTAATCAATCATTATATAGAATACACCTCGGTTCTCTAATACCAATATTAAAAAATTCATATTAATTAGGGGAGAAATTGGCTCCCGCTACCAGCTCATTTAGATGTATAAACACGGGTTTGGTCGACTTAGAAATATGATAAATCTTCCATCAATTATATTCTAAATTACATAATTTTCATTATTGCATCACCTAAAACAAATCTGACATAATTTATAAACCCTATCTGTCATCGTATTTGGCACGTGTTCTTTTAATATCCATCAAATTCGATCATATGCATACAAATCCAAATTCATCCTGAAAAGGTTAAAAAAATGGTTGATAAAGAAAAGGTAAAAACATTAAAAGACCAGAAAAGGGAAACAATTCAAAATATTGGAAAACAAAATTCAAGCATATACAAATATACTAAGTTACTGATAATATTTCTGCTCAATTTTATAATTTTTATATAGATTTTTTAAAAAAAGTTGATAGGGTATGCCTCCAATATATCCACCCATATGGAAAATTAGAAACAATATCCAAAACAAAACAAACAAACAAAAACAGCATGCCATGCCATTCAATTAGTACAAATGTGGACATTTCGGTACGATTTTTGACCATCTGCTCGATATAATTCACAAATCGAACCGATCAAAATTTTCGATTCGTTTTAGAGAATCGAATTTCCCGAAACAGAACTACTACACCGAATGTTAAAAAAACCCAAAAGAGAATGCAATGTAACAAAACAATTTGTAAGGTAACGCAATTTTTGTAACAAATAAAATTATTTCCGACGACGGTTGGTTACCATATCCGGGTTGCCCTTCTTCATCATTGCCACGAATTCTTCATAGTTGATTCTTCCATCCTACATTACCCAAAACGCGAAAATGGTCAAAAATGCGCGACTGAAACCATCAACCGGAACCCGCAAACGCTCTCTAAACAAAACCAGCGGTTGAGAATTGCGTTTCGGCTCGCCAGTTCTTGGCGACTGAGGGAGCAAGGGATCAAAGCTACACAGAAATCTTGGTTGTTTTGTATAATCCAATAGTTTCTTGTGCTCTATGGCTAAGCATGTGTAATGAGTCCTGAGGCTTTAGAAGGGACAAACCGAAAAAAGTTGAAAACTTTAACGAGTGAGATGAAGAGATCGGAGAACATACGTGATCGGTGTCTACTTCCGCAAGGATCTCTTTGATGGATTTCTCGTCGCCCATGTTATATTTCTTCAAGGCCTGCTCGAGCTCCTCCATGGTTATGTACCTTAAGGAACAAAGATACATTTCAATACATACAAATGCTCAAGAAGATGTTGAAAGGCAGTGGAGAACGGAGAAAAGAAAAGAAAAGAACGATAATAACCCGCTATTGTCCTTGTCGAAGTACTGGAAAGCGGTGTACAAACGATCCTCACGTTCTATCCTGTTCATATGCATCGTGGACGATATAAACTCCAAGTAATCAATTGATCCATCTCCATCAACATCGGCCTGTTTATATATATATAATGCAAATGAGATTTGTATATGTTCTTCTAGTTTCTTTCGGAAAAGAAAATCCGATTTCCCGAAAATGGAGTTAGGGGTTGCAGGTGTGAGAACGGCTTACAGCTTCCATTAACTGTCTTATTTCCTCCTCTGTGATCTTAGAACCGAGTTTCGGGACACCATCTCTCAGTTCCTCTAAGGTTATGGTCCCGCTGTTATCAGTGTCTAAAGATTTGAACATCTCTTTCAGACCCTTGATCTCTTCTTCCGAGAGGTTCTCTGCGATAACCTGAAACGCAAAGAGAAGACGAGATTCGTTCAGACCAAGAAGGAACTTTAAAAAAAAAAAGGGACCAGACATTGTTTCGTTACTGTTTTTCTTACCTTCAAAGCTATCTTCTTGAGTTTGTTCATTGCCCGGAATTGCTTCATCCTGGACAACACAGCATTGTCGAGTGGTTTATCAGACGCCTCCCCTCCTTCTCTCATCCATGGATGATCTGCCATATGTAATTTTATACAGTCAATAACGTTTTGAGAAAAACACTGAATAGCTTCAATGACTAGTTACTGTCCGAACTCACTCAGCACTTCAGAAGCCGTAAGCCGCTCTTCGGGATCATATGCTAACATTTTCTTCACAAGGTCTTTGGCAACACTTGATACCGAAGGCCAAGGTTCAGACGAAAAATCAAGGTGCCCACGATGAATTGCGTCAAAGATTCCCTGGTCACTCTCTGCAACAGGAAACACTTGCATGAAAATCTAAAACCCGAAAGGTGTAACTATTATTCTTCTCCTTAACGTTAGAAAGGAAAAGGAAAGACGGGTACCTCCCCAGAAAGGCGGGACACCGGAAAGAAGGATGTAAAGTATCACTCCGGCACTCCAGATATCCGCCTCGGGTCCATAGTTCCGGCGTAGAACTTCAGGAGCGACATAGAAAGCACTTCCTACAAGGTCCTTAAACAATTCACCTGCCAAAAACAAATCAGCTTAATATAGTCGAAGTCTATCGAGAATCAACACCAAGAAGATGAAGAGGTGATACTGTACCGGGCTTGAAGAAAACGGATAACCCGAAATCCGTGGCTTTCAAAGGGGAGTTCTCGTCTTTACTCAAGAAGAGAAAATTCTCGGGCTTCAAGTCTCTGTGCATTACACCCATTGAGTGGCAATTATGCAGAACCATAACCATCTGCCTGCACAAATCTGCAGCTGCTCTCTCAGTGTAATGCCCTTTAGCTATGATCCTATCGAACAATTCTCCTCCCTCACACAGCTCCATCACCAGATTCACCGAGTGCCTATCTTCATAAGCTCCCTTCAATTCCACTATATTCCTACACATTCAACCCTCTGTTCAACTAGAGGGACCCCATTTTTGTACCATTGAAACACCTAATCTACGCTCAAAAGGTAATCAAAATCAAAGAACGTTTTTCAATCCACAAGAACTCGGTGGCTAAATTCATAACCTTTGCCCACTATCTGTCTTAGACAGATCATCATCACCAACTGGGAGGCAGTCCACATAAATATATAGCAATGAGAATCAATTTCAGATTCTTGGAAAGTAACTTCAGCATTTCAAATCGGTTCCGAAGAACAAAGCGGATATTCTCACCGATTTGGAACTTAAAAGACCAAAATTGGAATCGGGAACGAAACAGTTGGGACAGTAGTCGGGAGCCCAGAAGGAGCATTAGCAGTAAAATTTACCGGTGACCCGTGAGGTGGTGCATGATCTGGACTTCACGGCGGACATCTTCTATGTCATCGCGGTGGACAAGGCGGCGCGTGGGGATCGACTTGCAGGCGAACTGTTTCCTGGTCTCCTTGTGCGTGACGAGGTAGGTGACGCCGAACTGACCTCGGCCGAGCTCGTGACCGAACTCGTAGGTGCTCCTTACGTTCTCCATTGGTCGGCCCAGGATCCGACCGATCTGTTGCGTAGAGGCCGCGCGGGAGCCGCCGGAGCTAGAGGATTCACGGCGTTCATCGGAGACTGGAGCATGATGGTGGTTGTCGGAGGAGGAGGGCGGCGGGGTAGGGTCGGAGGATTTGGTCTCGGAGTTTCCCATTGTGAAACTTCTAAGGTCAACGAAAAGTCAAATGAGTGAGAAAGAGAAAGAAATGGAGAGAGAGAGAGAGAGAGAGAGACAGAGAGGGAGAGGGAGAGGGAGAGAGATTTAATGTCCGAGATCGGGCATGGTGACTATTGACTAATATTTTATTTATTGGTTGTTCGTGCGAGTTAATATACGCCTTGATAACTTCCTCAGGCACGCGCATGTTTTTGGCACCACGCATGTGACGGATTATGACTCCCTCATATAGAAATTTTAAATTTCATTTTCTTAAAACTTTATATTTAGGTTTTTAAATATATCATTATCTATAAAATTAAAAGAGAAAGATTCCCTATTTTAAAAATATAAAATTAATTTTCCATCTCACATTAAATCTATAAAATTAAAAGAGAGATTCCCTATCTTGATTTCTTATTGGATTCATCCTTACTGACTCTAGATTTAGGTTAACAACAAATATGAAATATATTATCTAGATTTGAGATTAATTTTGAATTTGATGCAAAAAAATTCGAAAATTATATATTTACGAGTGATTATTCTGAGGTTTTCATTTGGGTATAGATCTTTGATTTTAAACTAGATAATTACAATATATTAGAAACATATGTGATTTATCAAATATACAATATTGGTTTTACTTAAATTAGATATCCTACATGTGAAACTTAAGTCATATCAGCAGTCCTTTCATGCGAATGGCCAATATGATTCCTACACAATATATATATATATATATATATATATATATATACACACATTATTTCCTCTATATAAAGGTTTTAACTGTTTGAAAATTTCCCAATTTTTTGTTTTTAAAAACACAAAAGGTATTCAATTACTATTTTGTTTTTTAGTTTTCCTAAAAACTCGATAAGCCATTTTCTTAAAAAAACATATTTGTGTAGATTTTAATTAAAAAAACCTCATTTGTTAACAGATTTTTTCATTTTCTGTTAAATATTAATTATATAAAATATTCAAAAGGCAAAATATCTATAATTTTAAAGAAAATATTACTTTATACATATGTATAAAAACCTTTTTTGATAATTTTATATTTAAAATCTAAAATCTAAAAACTAAAATATTACTCTCATCAAGTTTTTTAAAAACTACAAAAACCAAAATCATCAAGTTTTTTAAAAACTACAAAAACCAAAAATCAAAAACTAAAATCCAAAAAATCAAAATAAAAACAATCACCATTCATAGCCTAAGATTGATATGAATAAGAATCAGGAAATTTTCCCCTTCATCTTTTTCCTCTAGACAAATTCCTTTAACCTCAAAAGTTTCCATTGAAGAAAGCTTACCCTTCTGAAACTTGACAACACCTAAAAGAGACATTTTTGCTCTCTACACAGACACAGATATATTAGAGTGTAAATCTAAGTATGTTTGACTATATACATATATAATATATACACCTATATATATATATTATATGTGCACACACATATATATAGATAGAAGAGGTGAGGCATGAAGAAGAAAACACAAAAGTGGAAAACAAATATGAAATGAGCAATACACACACACATATATACATATATATACATATGACTGGTCCATAACTAATATTATATATATAAATGCAAGATTTTATTTAGAAAAATATGAAATGATTTACCATTTACTATAGCAATGATAAATAAAACACCATTCACCATTAACACCCAGAACCACATATAATAGAGCGACCATGGGTTGCGCCCGCAGCTCCAACATATAATTTACCCAAATCAATATAATAAAAAGAAAAAGAATAGCAGAATACAAATGGATCTTACAGATAACTCCTCCCATAGATGGATGATGAAACTCTCTGTTATGCTCTTTTGGGTTTGAGCTTTTGAATTATGTGTGTTCTCATCGTCAAGCAGCAACATGGCCGAACAAGGACTTGCGGATCTGCAAAATTTTCAGAATTGATTCCTTAACACAGTTCAACAGATAACACCATTAGCAACCCTTTTCAATGAAATTGCTATTATAATGAAACAGAAGCATGATTTTTTTTTTTTTACAAACGATGATCAAATCCTCCGGAAGAAATTGTTCAAACCCTAAATGGTTCGGTACCTCTGGAAGTTTCTTGCGGAAGGCTACATCCAAACGCGCGTCAAGTGTATTCTCACACACGATTTTCCCATCACGAGATGCCAACACAACGCCCCCGGAACTGCAAAAAAGAAAATCACCATACATAGATTAATCAGAGGCCAATGATGTTTTGGGCGAGACACGCCTATGTTTAATCATGTTAATATGTTGATTTTATTAAGTTGCATTATTATCAAAATGTCATAACACATACATCTATTATTTTTTTCATATAAAGCAACTTCTAGAAAAATTATTCAAGTTTCTCTTTTTTTTTCTTCCCCCTTTTCTGTTTTATGGGTTATAGGGTTTGTATTTCTTGCCCGTGCACACCATAGAGAAAGAGGCATTACCAGTAGAGACCATGAGAATCGTGGTGCTTAGGAGGAGGTGGAAGGTAAACTTGGTGATCCACAATGATCTCTGGAGCATGGACCTTGGCTTTATCAGCATATTCATCCTTTGCATCGTCAAGCACCGACTCGACTAAGCTCAAGTCATCTTCACGACAACGCAACAACACAGAAGGCTCTTTCAACCGAAGCAAACACTACAAAGGAGAAGAGATGTCAGCATAAAAGTGTCCAACAAAGAAAAAATGAGAAACCCAAGATAATAATTACATCCTCAGCCCTAAGAAATAATCGGATTCAACTAACATCAAGCTTTTAACATTGAATATCATTTCGAAGCGTCCACTATAATCGATTTGCTCAAGATTACTAACCTGAACAACCAGATCCTTCAGAAGTCGGCTGTAGGCATAGTCGTCACCGCTCACATTCAGAAGCTCCTTTGATGCATCATCTTTCATGGCATTGACTATATCATCCTGTGCTTGGAGAACTTTGATCCTTGAGGCATTCAACTGCATGGAGTACTCACTGAACAAATATGTAGCATACAATTATTTTTCCAAGATTTGAAATTGAGGTGCTTAAATGGAAAAAAAAAAAGATATACAATATCTCAACTTTACATTTCGATTCTAGCAGAAAGTCGTTGCAGTAAGAGAATCGCAATGTTTTCGTTATCTCAACAGAGATTGGGAAGAACCCAGTAAACAAAAATCTCCTATTAGACGAATTGTCAAACAAGAAGATTGAGATGTAGAGAACTAGAACTGTCCCAATAGTCTCTATCAGAAAACCAGACAAAATTTGCTCAAAAACGCAATCCGTTTTCAGTTGACCAAAGTTCGCATCAAGGGACTACTGCAATTCTCAACCGTAAGCTTACCGCTGAAGCACTTCCCAATATCAATGCCCGAGATATTGTGATCCGTAATATGATTCAACTTCAAAAATCGAAGGATCAAATACGGAGTTAAGAAAATAAATCAATCGCCTAATCAAGTGAACTCACATCTTCTTACGGACTTCAACTTGCTTCTCCTTCTTCTCGTACTCCTGCCTGATCTTTTTCTTCTCCGCCTCAACCAACTGTAGCTTCTCGATATTGAATTCCTGCGCCGATTCATACAACAGGAATCAGAATATAGCGTTACTGTGTAGCCGCAACACCAAAAACACATCTCCAATTATTGAAACGATGATACGGTGCATAAATCGACTGGATTTCATAGAAATCGAAGAATGAACAAGACGATGAGATCGTACTTCTTCCGCGGAGACCGATATCTCGTTGGCCTTCTCCTCCGCCTCTTGGCGGATGAACCTCACCATCTGCTGGATCTGCCTCGAGACATCTGCGTCGTTCATCTTCGCCGGAGATCGTATACCGTCGACAACTTACCGGAGATTGCAGAGATTTTCCGTCGTCACGCAGAAGGATGAGAATTCTCCCAACGTGGTAGTTGGGGATTTAGTAGTAATTTCAAGTTGTTCGTAGATCTGAAAAACGGCACACAGTTGTTTAGGTTTTAATAGAAACGTCAAAGCGTCTAAAAGAAAAGGGCTTTAATTGGGTCTTGATATACGAACTACGAAGGCCCAAGCCCCTCTTCTCAAAAGTAATCGATAGCCCAAGGCCCAATATCTAAAGCTAGCATTAGCAATTCCGTTATCCATTTTTTTTAATGCATCAAGACTTTGATTGATAACCACTATTCAAGTTAATTACCTTGGAATTTTAAGCTATCGATAATTCAAAAATACTATCAATAACAAGTCGTTAAAATTTTATTAAATTAAAGTTTAATGACATTGTATTTACCTCTAATCTTTATATAAAATTGTCAATTTCAAACAAAGATTATTCATACAATAATATATCCATTTTCCAAGTTGTGAAGGCGATGTCAAATACCACAACGCAACAAAATCAAAGAAAGTGGCAACTTTTATTCCCTTTTTTTGGACCGTTCATAATGTCAAACGAGTTATCTATTTTCTTTTATTTTCATAAATTTATTTATTTTTTTGTATAAATAAATTTATTTATTAGGTCCAAATCGAAGCAGTTTTAAAAAAGGAGGTCAACATATGCCGGTTTAAAGATATAACCATATTAGGATTCAAAATTTTCTTATTTTTCTGAATTAATGTGATAATACGAAAATAGTATTTAGAATTTACATTTTTAAGTGTACATCATATATCAATAGAAAATATGTCTGATAAAGATATTTTATTATAGTTTGTAAACTAAATTTAACATATTTTATGTACGTGTATATTTGATAATAAGAGTATTAATGTTTACCTACCTACCCTTTGTGGTTCTCTTATGCAATTTAAAGTTTTTATGGGCATCTTTAAATGGTACATGGCATGTATTCAATGATATACACGCGCACGCACTGACATATACAGTTACATATTGGTTGAAAAATTGTCTCACTTTCTCGTGAATTTCTACATAAAAATAGTTATTGCATGCAATAATTTCATATATAAATATATGATAAATAAAACAAAATAATACAAGGCAATAAATAAATTTTATTGGTCGGCATAAAAGACAATAAAATAATAATAATAATTTTTGTATAATAGTGTTCCATGCCGTTGAAAATAAAGGGCGATTAGGAAGCACGTACTGATTTTAATCTATGTCAACTTAGTTTATTTTTGTAAAAATTTTAAAATAAATGTGAAATAGATTATCCACAAGGGCAATGATAAATTGATAAATGACAACATTATACAATTGATAAATGACATTCTATTTATCAAATTGATGAAGAATGGTAAAAGACAACGGGGATATAAAATGCCAAACGAATCGAAGCTCGACTCTTATTGATTATATTGAAAATCTTTGCTGAAATTTTAAAAATTAAATAAAGATTAACTAATTAATTAATTATTCCCTCCATTTTGAACAGGTAGTTAATTCAGTTAATCATGGTGGCATGTCCCAGATCCGCCTATCCCCACACTGTTTATGTTCATTAGCTGTCATCTCTTTTGTGTCTAATTAAATTAATTACTTGACTAATCAACATGCTACTTGGATCTATACATATTTCATTTGAACTTTTTTTGAGAAATGCTTGGTCAAATCTTAGCAATAAAACACTTTAATTCTGCCATTAAAGGAGTAGCTCTGTTTTTTTTTTAATTTTTTGCAGTCAAATGATTTAAATAATTCAGTGACAAAAATGATTGAATGATTTATTTCGAATTACGCAAAAACAATGGTTTTTCTCGTGATGTTTACAGCTTTAATTATGTGATCGAATTTCTGTTAAATTAATGGTTAGTTATTTCCATAAGATTTCTATGCAAATAAAAGATGGCCTCACAAGGAAATCTCAAAAGGATTGGGCCCATATTAATCAAGAAACAGTATAAGTAACATTATTAGCAGATAATCCACCGGCGAAATTGTCCATTGGTCCATTCACAATGGGCATATTTGCAGTCTTTTCAACAAACCTGTCTTCATAAATTCAAACGGTGCGTTCTTTTCTTGCAAGAGATGTAGCCATTCTCTGACTCGTTTCCTCCCTTCATCTTTATATATGCCCCTTCATCGCATACAGCGGATTCTTCTCCCAAGAAAAATCCCTTTTTTAGGTTCTGGGTTGTGTTTTCGAGACGTAATTTCATCTGGGTATCTGCGATTACGTTAAGATTCCGACTTGTTCCGGCGGGGCGGATAGATTCTTAGTGTGTCCGTTGTTTTTCCGGGAAAATTAGGTGTTATTTTCCCGGAAAGCGTGTGTTAGGAGTGATTTTCCAGTGCCGTCCGTTTTCAGTTTCATCCTCACGTGTGTCTGCGTCGTGTTTTCTTTCTATCCTCTTTGGACATTTTTGCAGCTTTTATCGGTGAGGGAAAAGGACTTTTGCAGTTGAGCTTGGTGGTTGGCGTTTCGGTCTCAATCCGCTAGAAAAAATTTTGTTGGATTCAAAAGAAAAGTTTTCCGGGCTCTCGAACTCTTTCTCGTGATTTCTCTCTTCTCTTCTGGGTTTAAAATCGTGGGAACTCCCCCTGTTTGGACAGAGAGAAAACGCGAGAAAACGAGGGAAAACATACACATACAAACGTATGCCCGATTGCTTGGTAGATCACAATGGAATCATCCGGAGCCGTTGCTGATCAGAGACCAGTCGTTGACTTCGTCAAGGACAGGAATGGAATCGGTCAGATTCTGCTCCAGAATCCCAAAGGGGCTTCTGTAAAGGTGAGAAAATCTTCTCCTCACCCCCACCTACTTTTCTAGGAATTGGATGAAACAGCGTAGCGAATCTTCGATTTAGGATTCGGAATCTGGTTCTCGTGAAGTGACAGTAGATCCTCGTACACAACCTGTTCGATGTTTTTCCCGTACCGAACCGGCTAAGGAGAAAGACATTTGACGGTTTAGATAAATTGTATTCATTCTGTGGGATCTTAAGATTCATGGTCGACTTTTTCTAGTCAAGAATCTGAAATCTGTCGGATCTCTTAAACTATAACAATTCGGTTTTTTATCAACTTTGGTTTAATTCGATTCGGTTATTATTGGTTAAAAAATTCATTTTTTTAAAGAAATTTTCGGTTTTTTTTTTGAATTAATGCTTTGTTTAGATAAGCTTACATGGCGCTCAAGTTCTTTCTTGGAAGACAGAGCGTGGTGACGAACTATTGTTCACAAGCTCTAAGGTATTTTGGCGTTTATCCAATTTCATTTAAACCATTATGGAATTTTATGAGACAGGATAACGGTTTTGTTTCAGGCTGTCTTCAAGCCACCGCATCCAGTCCGAGGAGGAATCCCTATATGCTTTCCTCAGGTACCTACACACTCGCAATTCACGTTCATATATTTATGAGCTTCTGCATGAATATCTGTTGATTTTGTTAACTACTGATTAACCCCGAGAAGTTTGGAACTCGGGGATTACTTGAGCAACACGGGTTTGCAAGGAACAAGATTTGGGTCGTGGAAAAAGATCCGCCGCCTTTGCCCTCTTTCGATCCGACGCAAAAAGCCTATGTCGATTTGGTACTCAAGCCATCCGATGAAGATTTGAGGATTTGGCCTCACAGGTTAAGATTTAGATCCCCGCAAAAACTATTTCGATTTCTCGATTTGATCGATAGAAAAATCTCATTCAAAAACTTGCTTCAGTTTTGAGTTTCACCTGAGGGTTTCATTGGCATCGGATGGGAGCCTAAGGCTGATATCTCGAGTCCGGAACATCAATTCCAAGTCTTTTAGCTTTTCCATTGCCTACCACACATACTTCTCCATCTCTGATATCAGGTATTATGTAGTATTATTATAATCTTCTTCGTATCTCTAGTCTTATTTACTTTGCATCTATCCAATGTAGAATCCTTAAGAATCCAATGTACCCTTTCGGTTTGGACAGTGAAGTTAGGATTGAAGGGCTGGAAACTCTCGACTATCTCGACAACTTACTCGAAAAGGAGCGGTTTACAGAACAAGGGGATGCCTTAACCTTTGAATCCGAGGTAAGAACGTGGACTATGGCTGATGAAATTATTTGGATTACTATCGCTAACTGAAGTTTAAAGCAGGTAGACAGAGTGTACCTCAGTTCTAAAGGAGCCGTTGCGGTCTTTGACCACGAGAGAAAGCGTACTTTCCTCGTCAAGAAAGAAGGGTTACCAGATGTTGGTAAAGATAAAAGATCCCTCCTTTTCTCGATCTAAGCCACTGTCACTGTGATGATATATAGATAGACATATTCATGTTATGTGAATGTGCAGTGGTATGGAATCCATGGGAGAAGAAGTCGAAAACGTTGGGGGATTTGGGAGATGAAGAGTACAAGCGCATGCTGTGTGTTGATGGTGCAGCCATTGAGAAACCCATCACCTTGAAACCTGGGGAAGAATGGACCGGGAAACTGGAACTCTCTGTTATTCCTTCGACCTGAAATCGTGGTGCAGCCACTGAGTCATCTTTCTCTCTCTCTCTCTGTTTTTTTGGATAGCAATAGAACACCCAATGTGATTTTTCAATAACAAATCAAGAACAATAAAATGTAAAAAGGAAAGACGATTTGGATTGTCACCCATTTTTAGGTAGTGACCAGATCGTTTTCTTTCTTCTTTGGGTATTTGTAATGACAATGAGATTGAGATGTTGTAATGGTGAAACCAAAACAGGATGGGAGATTTGGTAATATCCTTTTTCTGTAATATTATTATGCATATCCAATTTCTGCAAAATCTGGTGTCACTGTGTATATGTGTATGCATGTCACCTCGTAAAGATGGTGGAGATTTTGCAGATCCGATCAGACTCGTCGAGAACGTCAGACGAGGAGTTGGTCTCGAACCCGACAGAGCAACCGAGAGTTCCACACCCACCGGAGCTCGAATCGGATGGAATGACCGACTCTTCTGAATTTGCTACTGATAGATCTCTTTCGATTTAAAATTGCGAGAATCTTCGAAATCTGATTTCTGATTGGGTTTGATGAGCATTCATCGTTATTATAACACATAGAAAGATCCTTTAGAAAACAGAAGCACTCTGGATTATGACAGATCGAAATGGATCTTCAGGAAGTTTCTTTTACGATTTTGCAGAGAAATCCTATACAATCTAGAAGAAAAAAACACTCAGAATTCAATGGATCGAAACGCACCTTGAAGAAGACGATGGATCCTGAATCCGACGGAGATGGGGGATCAGACGGGGCTGAGGAGCTGGAAGAGGGAGGGTTTGGGATCGGCGTTCATGCCGACGACGATGATGAGAGGGATGAAGCCAAAGTGAGCGACGACTTTGACCTTCTTCAGCGTCCAATTGGTCCACTCCTTGGCTCTTTGCAAAACCGCGTTGTTGTCGTCTTCCTCCATGGATCCTCTCGTCCCCTTCCCTTTCACCTTCAACGAAACCCTAGACGCCATTGAAATGCCCTCTCTTATCCTTCCTACCAATCGCGTTTCTTCGTCTCGTCCGTGGCTCTCTCTCCCCCTCGAGATTTCTGAAGTTCTTTACGCATCACCAAAAGCATATCACGTGATTCGCACGTGCGCCGACTATAAATAGTGACGTGGCTCGATATATATATATATTCATGTATGTATATGGGATTTTCATATATATATATATATATATATATTAATACTTTTTGAGTTTTTCGTTTGATACATGAAAAAATATTTTTCCATACGGTCTCTACAATATCATGCACTGTACGTACGTAAAAGAAAATCGGACTGATGGGCTTTGACAGATCGGAAGGCCCAATAAAAGCCCATACTTTGCCTTGTCATCGTTTACCGTCATTATGTTTGGGGACAAATATATCTGTCCGACACAAACATAGAAAGTTTTTTTTTTTTTTATAACCGGGTAATCCCAGGACCAAAAGGCCCAGACTAATCCCGACCCACATGTACAACCGGCACCACACGTGTGGGATGTGAAGCACCCGAAGGTGGCCGGAGAGGAAATCTCCATACCCTGGATGTTGAACCCACGACCTCTTGTTCAGGAAGTGGGCTCTCAAACCAACAGAGGTGGGGGAGATCCCCACAAACATAGAAAGTTATATAACTATGTGCAATTCATTTGTCCAATCGTATATTTAGAACAACACGTTTCATATGCTATATAGATTACTAATTCAAAATAAAATCTATAATTTAAATAAATAAATAAACCTTAGTTTTCACTCAAAACAGCCTCGACACCCCTCACGTTCGGAGTCAACATGTTTCTCTGTTTGTTTTCTCTGTTCCGATTCAATGTTTTTTATTAATATTATGAATGTATAAAGACATTCATCCTATACATTATATATCAATTTCCAAATGTATTTTAAACGTTACATTTTTCATTATTTACTTTTTTTTTTATTTAGATGCTTCGGCTTTTTTACGTATGCTGCGTTTATTTTCATGGTATACCGAGAATTTATCGGTAAATATAAATTATCTATTACGAATAATATAATATATTTGGAAAAAAAATCAATATACACATTGTTGCTTTACATTAGTTTATCCCTCTTTCTAATATATCTAAATTTTTATAAATATTAAAATTTCAAAGATTTTAGAGAAAAAAATATTAAAATAGACTTTAACTTAAAGGAGAGTTCAATCCATTCAAATATTTAATATTATCAAAAAAAATTAATGATTGTATGTAAGGAAATGAGTTTCCATGTAGTTTTCGACCAATGGTTTCAGTTACATGATGAACATTGTTTCACCCTATGATATTATACTTTTCCTATTCTTTAAATTATTATTATTATCATTATTATTATTATTATTATTATAACTGTATGATTAAATTAAATTATAATGCAGTCTAAGGGAGTGGGTCTACAGTCCCCCTAAAATAAGGAGTCAACCCATACACTGTATCTCACTTTCTATTTGTCTGTCCTTTTGGACTGTAGAAAAGGGGAAATGATATATTTTTTAATGTGATTGTTTATAATATAAGAATCTTTAACCTTTTTCATTCTTACTGATCATATTTTGACCAAAAAAATAATCTGTTCGCGAGTAAATACGATATATATAACAAAAATAAATAAATTACCATTAAGATTCAACCGTATGATTTGGATAGAAGCATCAGCTATTTTGTAATATTTGATTTAAGTGATTCATATAGTCATCTTTATATTTGTTATTTGTACTTAAATATTCTTGATTATTCTAATTGAAAGGTATATAATACATATCATGTTATTGTTTTCAGCTAATACATATCATGCTGATATTCGTATTTAATTAATTTTTCAAATAATTACAATCTCCAAAGTGAAAATTTAATGCTGGTTACAAAGAAAATAAAGAAAAAGCCAGTTGTAAGATTTCAGACATATTTTAATTAAAAACTATTAAAACTTTATGTGAACCATTCCGAGCCATTTGTCTCTCCCATTTGTTTATCATAAACATTTTCAGAAGTGAACTGTTTTTTAAACTATTTTATATCTAAAGTTCCTATTTGATACAAAATATTACGAAAAGTACAATTTTCAAACATTTTTTGATTTGGAACTTTTAACATGTTAAATAAAAAAATTGATGACAATGATTTTTTTATAGAATGTTGCACGTGTTAACCCCAACAATTATGTACTTAAATATCGTTTTAACTTTAAACACATATATTAAATGAATAGTATTTTTCCAAAATACCTTTTTAAAATTAGTTTATTTTTACAATATTATTAACTATTTTCTCTTATTAACGATAAAATAACGGTAAATTTGAAGAAAAAAATCTGAAAACGTATTTGTTTTGAAACTAACTTATTCGAAAACATCATATAAAATTAAAAAAGAAGAACCGGCTAAATAAAAAGATGAAGTCGTGAGGGAGTGTTGGAAAGGGCTCTATGACCCCATAATTTAAGGGTCACCAAATTAAATAATTTGATAAGTTAGTTCATTAATTTATTATATAAGAATAATTAAATGAGAGATTAATGAGATTTGTCTCCACTTCGAGACAAAGAGTGACAATCACTTGCTAGCTCACTTCCCACCTCCTCCACTCCACTTTTTCATTTCATTTTATTTTATTTTTTTAGAATGATAAATTTTAAACCATCCACCTAATTTAAATTTTCAGTACATAACACATATTCTAATCTCATAAATAAGCTTTTTATAATCACAGTTAGTGTCACTCTATATCACATTCAAGACGTATTTAATGCAGAAAATTTTGGTTCGGGTTGTTAGGTAGGCGACAAGTATCTCTTTTTGCATAAAAATCTATTATATTTTTAATAATTTTTTCTTTTAAAATTTTTATTGTTTATATTTTATCAGTCAAAATTTTTTATTTATTTGATTTTATTGACATAAATTAACTTTAATAAATTCAATCAAAATGAAATTCATCTGTTAGATACAAGGTTGAAAAAATCATGTTTCATTTTATTTATTTTAAATTTCAATTAACTATGATTAATTACAATATAATTAATTTATATTTCGATTGAATGTGGGCTCAGCTCTATATATCAAACAAAAAGTCTTTAGAATTAGTTTTATGGAGAAATTAAATTATATATTATTTTCTAAAAACATGGAATTACTCAAAAGAAGTCTAAAACAATATTGTCCATGGTGTGAATGCATATACATATATAATTATAATATATAGTATAACGTTTGTAAGTTTTTATACGACTTATAGAAGCTCCTTTTCGGAAATAAAAAATGTAACAAAAATAGAATACGAAAAAACAGAGGTCCTAGTGATAGAAGAATTCATTACTATGTAAAAATTTTGAATTAAATTAAATATGAGAATATTTCTAGAAGTTTTATAGATATCTATATGTGCATGTGGAAATTGCAATATTAATTTTATATTTTGGATTCAAACACAAGCAAGAGATCACTTTGGTTGGAGTATTTTAAATTTCTATTTCAACTATTACTGTCACACTTTATAAGAAATAAAATTTAGCCGGCTGTTATAAAAAAAAGGAGTTGTATCCATTTTTTGACAAAATAAATACATAAGTGAAAATACGAAGTGTAAGAGACCGTATCTTCATTGTCGAATCGCCACATATAGATATGCTCATATTCTAATCGTGAGTTAATTTTCCTGACCAATCTAAACTCGAAATGATTAATGAATCATTCACCTAATCATACACCATTTGTCATTAATTAACATAACCTTCTTTTTTATGGACCCAATATGTCCCATATCTATATATGTGGGTCGCATGTTCCCGTAAAAAAGTGATATATTTACAGAATTTTATAAATATAATTTTTTAATAATACTGAAATAAAAAACGAGATTCATGAATCAAATATTTAGTTTTTTTTATTAGTGTACACTATCTATATAACTGGGAGAGCACAGTATATGGAGATATACAGATATCATGAGAAAGTTTAAAATGGTGAATATAAACGATATATTATGACTATAATTATTTTGAATATAGTTATTTAACTATTTTCTATTTGAAATATTATACAATGCCGATGATGATACTATGTAAATATATAGATTTTTTTTATTCTTTAAACCAATATTAAGAGAAGAAGCCATTAATGGAAGATTCAGAAACATAACGCAATGTATTTTTTTATTAAATGAAATGTAGCTTAATTTAATTTAATTAATTAGTTTCCCGACTAGACCCATAATTTCTGTCCTCTTTGAGACACTTTTCATGTACATCCCATCAGAACTCCTCTCTGATTATTGCCCCATTATTGATGCTTTACGTTTCCCTTTTTCTTTTTCATTAATTATATTAATTATCCGTCACTGCAATGAAAATTATTCTTCTATTATGTTCGTATATAATGATCGTTGAGTGAAATCTGTCAAACGTATTGAAGGGTTTAATTTTATAACATTTTCTATACAATCTCTATCAGTTATATGTAATATGAGAAAGTTCATGATCAACTCTAAAACATACGGAAGTTTTATAAGTAGTTATATATTCTTTAGAATTTTAAATTTAAATTTATGGTGTATGAAATTGTTACCACATTTTATTACTTTAGGGGAAAAACAACTAAAAAAACAAAAGAGAAAATAACGGGACAAAGAAACGACGTCAGCATCACATGATGGGAAAGAACAAGTGGACTGACGGAAGGGGCTCGAAAAGAGAGAACGGCGCCGTTTGCGGTCTAACGGAGAGAAACGGTGGGACCCAGGGATGCCTGATCCATCCACCTATTGTCCTTGATTTCTGGGACATCTTCCGTACGGTCGTTCTCCTTTTGCTTCAAATATAATTAATGAATCTCCAGGAAATAAAAAACAAATAAAAATAAAAAAGGAAACGAAGTTTCATCTTCTACATTCACCACAGTAAAAACAAAACTATTTATTTGTCAAAAAAACTTTTGTAATAATGTTTTCACTTAAACATGATGCTTATTCCGGACCTAATAAATAAAATTCATAATACATAGAATTTACCATATACAATTACCAATAGTACCACACAAATAATTTTGTTATCATATTATCATGCACATATATATATATATATATATATATTAAAAAAATTTATCGGATTTTATCGTTTATGAATAATTTGCGTGGCTCAAAGTTTATTTCCACGTCTAGGGTTTAGTGCTTATTTGACTTTGGGTTGCAAAGTCTTCCATTGTATTTTATATAAATAATGATTTTGCAGAAATTGCATTTAACGTGTAAAATGTAACGTTATTTGAGAATGCTATAACACACCCACACAAACAGACGTATACATTTCATGTATATATACGTGTAACGTATACATATGTAACATGCATATTCACTCATTCGTACTTGTTTTCTCGAATGTTAGTAACTCAACGGTGACAATACAATTAGGAAAAAAACACACATTCGTACTTTGGGTTGCAAAGTTTTTTTTATTGTTATGCAAATAGCTTTGTTTAAAAAGTTCCTACAAATCGATGAAAATTTAATCCACATTCCACAATCTAAATATATACTAATTAATAGATAATATTTCAAATTATATGAGAAAGCTAAAACAAAAAATAAGCAAAAAAAAGTTATATCATAATAAAAATTACAAGAAAAATAAAAAGTTATCAATTATTACACTTATCTCTCTATTTCTATAAAACATTTGATTAAAATACTCTATAATTTTATTAAATAAATAAATAAATTTGTTGGTTAAAAATTAGAAAATAATTTTTTTACATTTGTTATCAATTTATTTTTTATTTTTAAAATTTTTGAACATGTGAAATTATTATAATATAAAATATCCACTAAAATTTAATCTTTTAATTTATAAAATATATTTTCTTTTATCAAAATCTTAATAACTAATAAACTTAAAATTAATATTTTTTAAAAGTAGGGTCTCCAAAAATTGAAGACCCGGGGTGTCATGGCTCCACTCCTCTCAGACTGATTGGTCGTTGGATATAAATAAATCCAACAGTGGTAACAATATGACCATTGGGTCGGAGGAACAAGCGCCACGGTTGTGTTCGACCCATCGATCAAAAACTGATTCGGGTATATTTCATTTTATTTTCTACAGTAAATTAAATTTATTTATGAGAAAAAAAAGTAAACATATAAAAATATAATCGAATCACATTGTATTTTCCTCTTAAATTTTTAGAATTAAATTAATATTATCATTAAATTCGATATACCATCATCATTGTCGTATTCACTTCCGTCTTGGATCCAATTTTTCATGAAGTTTAATATATATAATTTTAAATTCACATATATTAAAATCAAATACCATATTAAATTATTAGACAATTATATTATTATTCACTATGATAAATTTAAAATACATATTTTAGTTTTTAATAAGAATATTATTATTAATATAATAAAGAAATCAAAATTATAAAATATATAGTAACATTGATTGCGGAGGACACCCAAAAAAATAGTGGTATCTTAAAACATGTTTTAGCACCAACGCATACGATGTTATTCAAACTATAAATTTATTGATAGAAGTTGCGACAGCGAATTAAAACTATCACATTTCAACTTATATATGTATTTTTTAAAATGCAGTTATTATATATATAGAAATATATATCAGTGTACATATAGTATGTAGGAGAAAAATAATAAGATGGAAGACAAGAAGAACAAAAGGAGACATGGTTCACATACCCTGCAATGAAATTGTGGCCACTTTGGCAAAATGGCATGGGCTCCTAAAATCATGTACGTACGATTACATATTTACATATATATATAATGTAGGCGTTCGTATATACGCGTATATAATATTTATCAATGCAACGAGGGATATGGTGCCCACGGTGGCAGATAACTCGACCGACCCATCAATATTTTTGCCAGACAGGCTTTAAATTTTCTAACCAAATGTAAATATTTGGTAACAACTTGTATAGTTTTGTTGACTTATGGTTATGATAAAATTTGTTGGAACTCTTGTACCTTCGCTGTATAAATGTACTAGCACCGTATAAAAAGATATGAATTAAATTTCATATAAAATCCAAAATTTTATGTAATAATTAAACATCTACAGATTACTAGGAATAAAAATTATTCAAAATTAGATGGTTTAAATCACGCAAGGTCATATTTATGGTATATATGAGAATTACAATAAAAAAATATAGATGGTTATGAAAAGACGCTAAATTATATTTTTATTATTTAATATTAATACTCAGTTTTATGTGATTATAACCTATGTATTTTTTAGTGAACACCCATCCATTTTAAAGATAGATTATGAAATGCGATTAAGATGTGATATTTGATGAATAAACTGATATTTTTTAAATCAGTTTATTATGGTTGTTATTATTATAAATCTAAAAAAAATGCCAAACACACTCCGCGTTAAAAGGCCCAATGAATTAAAGGCACTTTGTTCTCTCCCGTTTGCACTCACATGAAAATGTGCAGTGAAAAAAATAAAACAAAAGACAAAAAAACAGAGTATTACTAAATTACAGTTAGTTAATGACTAATACAATAATATAAACAAATTAGAAAAGACAGTCAAGTTTAATGATTTTTTTTGGCTCATTGTCCTAAGTTGTCTGCCACGTTAGCTCCCAGCTGTAAAAACAGGGACCGTAAGGGTAAAATGGTAAAATCGGTAAACCGTAACGGTCTACTGTTCTTTTTTACAGGCAACTTGACCGGCTAAAGAAATGACCGAAACACCCCTGTGGTTAAATGCAGAGAGCTTGGCGCGGAGGGCTTTGATTAAAGAGTTAATTACCGTAATTAGCTGCCGTTAATTATTATTATTATTATATCTGGTCAAAGTAGGACTGAACCTTGTCTCCGGTGTCACGTGACCTGAATCTGCAATTACTACAAATTAAATTAAAAAAAAAACAGTGTTTTTCAGCTGGTCAGTCAGTGGCACCTCCCAGCCGTTGGATTGGGCGCAAACCTCGTGCCCATAATCCACGTGTCAAAATCTGAGCAGATTGACTTTTGCGGCGCTCCGGCAAATATCTCGTCACTCGCCGGAATCTCTTTCTCCGCCGTTAACGCCGTCGAAGATTTCTTATTTCGACGTTACAAAAACGCTAGTATTTGTTTCAATTAAATAAAGCCTAATTTGGACAAGTGTTTTTCATTCGTAGGCATTGTCCTAACGTTCACTCGTGTAGGCAAATCTGTACACTAAATGACGGAACAAAATACACAATATAACTCCGTTTCTTCTACCCATTTTTTAAAATATGATTTTTTCGTAAAATAATTAAATTATTTATATATTAAAACAAAAAAAAAAGCGGGTTAAACGCCGTTTTGGGATCCTATAAAAGAGTGTCTTTTTTTCTCGTGGTGTGGCTATTCTCTACTTGCATGTGCTCCTCTATCTTCTTCTTCTTCTTCTTCAAAACTTTTCTGGGAATATTAGACACTTGAAAAGAAACCCCACGCTCGAGCACAAAGAAAAAAAAAAGAAAGCATCTTTTCTCTTCTTTTTTTTTTCTCGGTAAACAAGCAGAGGTTGTGATTTCATTGGCATACGCAAAAAAGCTCTCTCGGGTTTTTCTTTTCTCCTCCTTTCTTCAACTTTCTGGGAAAATCTTGGCTTTTCTCGTCTCTCTCTCCTCCTCCACCGCGAGAATACCATAGAGACGCTGGGATTTCTCGTCCTTTGATAAAACTTTTGCAGAGCATCAGCCTAATCTCTCCCTCTCTGTCTTCTTGTTCAAGTCTCCTCTCCTTTTCGTCCCTTTCTTTATTCTCTGTCTTCCTTCTTTTTTCCCCTTCTGAAATCTCTCTTTTGCTTTCAATGCTTTTCTCAAGTCTCTGAGATATATATATAGAGACAGAGCCGCACATACACAGTCTCAGTCACAGTCAGAGTCAGAGACCCTGTTTGGATAGCGAGAAAATGGAAACGGAGAAGAAAATCGTTCTCCCGAGAATCAGATTCAAGGAGCACAAAATCAACAGCACCACAACCTTACCCACAAACTTCAATTTCAACCCTAAACCCAGAATCTTACGCATCTCCGTCACCGACCCCGACGCCACCGATTCCTCCAGCGACGAAGACGCAGAACATAGCGAAATCCCCAAACGACGTCGTGTTAAGAAGTTCGTTAACGAGGTCGTGCTCGAATCTCTCTCTGTGAAGACTGGCGGCGGTTGCGAAAGGACGAGGAAGAGACGGAAGACGGCGGGAAGAGATTCCGGGAAGGCCGAAGCACCGGCGGTGGCGGCGGAGAGGAAGTTCCGGGGGGTGAGGCAACGGCCGTGGGGAAAATGGGCGGCGGAGATAAGAGATCCTCTGAGACGTGTACGGCTCTGGTTAGGTACCTACGATACGGCGGAGGAAGCCGCCATGGTTTACGACAACGCCGCCATGGGCTCCTAAAATCATGTAC